GAGCTGGCTGATGTCAGCTATATCTGTGCTCTCATCTAGAGCTATAGAGTAAAATCCACATTTTTCCAAAATGCCCTTGAGAGTACCTGAAACTTCACTACCCATATCATTAATTCTTCTACTTACTGTCTGATGAGACAAGGACACTGTTTCAAAATTTTTAGCCATCTTATTATCTCCAAATGAAGATGCCATTTTTACAGCACATCTTTTAATGAGCTCACCATCCCTAAACACTTTTTACTTTTAGCTACCTCTAAACATACCTCATAAGATGCCTTCAAACCAGCAGTGTTTGATGGTTGCTGAAAGATATTCTTCTGTCTAGTTAATTTCAGCTTCAAATCATTAAACACACAACTCCTGGCACTTCCCTGGTATTGGTCGTATTTTGATTTATGCAAGCTGGTATAGTGTCTACTCACATTATACCCCTTCGAAACACTTAAGACTTGAGAACAGATAACACACTGTGGGTTTCCATTATGTTCAACAAAAAAGTAACTTTCCTGCCACGTGAACTGAAATTGTCATTTCTCATCTTCAACACACCGTTTCTTTAGTTCCGCCATTTTAGGTAGTACTGAATGAAAGTGAAAATCGCAGCATGAACGCCACAGAATATAACAGTCGAAGAGTGAAGCTTATTATCGAGGTGGCCGTTATAGGAGAAATGAAGATTGTAAGGTGCTGCCAAGCGGCCTCCGTAGTCTAGAGGTAACGTTCCCACCTCATGACTCATGGTACGCGGGTTCAAACCCGGCGGAGGTCGTCGAATTTTTAAGGGCAGAAAAATTTAGGGAACAAGTCCTCCAGGCGGGACTTTAAGCAGTGTGTCCCGTGTCATAGCTTTACAGCACGTAAAAGAACCTCATATCTCCAAAGGAGGTCACTCAGCCAAATTCAAGGACGTTTCCCGCCCAACAAGTAGTCTCTAACACCTCTGATAGATGGGGGAAGCATTATAGATACCGCCAAGCTAGTGGAGGCCGAACTCGCTGGCTCGGTCAGGACTGATGGTACGC